TTATTGTACCACCAGCGTAGGCGCTGGCGGTACACATGGTTTTAGTCCCGACCCGTATGTTCCGCCGGCTCCGCCGGCTCCTGCGGCTCCGCTCGCCCCTGCGGCTCCGCCGCCAAGTCACCGTTACCGCTTCTCCTCCTAGACTACTAGGGCCTGCGTACCCATCTCTTGGATTTAGGTCACCTATAATCTCAACTCGTTCCACGTAAAATTTGGGCTTTGTCGGTATTGGGGTCTAGGTGTGGCACTCATTGCAATGCACCCTTGTCCAAAAATGGCAAAATTAAATGCTAATTATCTACCCTACGGAAGGAATTATGGGAAAAATTTCTACAGACGGCTTTCAAAAAGTCATATGTGTAGATTTCAAATATGCCCTTGGATTTGACCTTTGACCTTTATTTCAAGGTCAAACGGGCCAAAATTTTCAAAAAAATGAAATTTTTTACGAAAAAAAATTTTTTTGCGCTGTTATTCAGACACTACACAGACTTAACCAATAATATTACTGGAAAGTGTTACCCTTTGGGTCATCTTTCATCTCTGTGAATTTGAAATCAATCGGTGCATTTTCACGGGAGTAGCGGCCATAAGATACCGAAACTGAAAACTGTCTCTGATTCGGGAACCGTTAGTGCTAGAGACCCATTCAGCTCAAATTAGAAAACCAGCTGAATTGATTTATTATGCATTAATGCAATTTCATAAATTTTCATTTCTCTCATTCTGACAATTTTCAAAGTGTGTACTTGTCTCTCATAGGCCTGAAACCTTATGATTGTTACACATTTTACTTACATCAGTAATACCTGTTGAGCTTAGTTAAAATTTGATGTTAAATTTGCAGTTAACCATAATGCACTTTTGCATCAGCATTGACAGTAGCATATTTTATGCATTGTTTCCTGATTTTTGTATGTACATTTGACAGCTTTGCTGCCTTGTTAGGAGTGGCGTGCAGTTCAAATTAGAAAGCCAGCTCAATTGGGTTATCATTTATTATTGAATTTATGCAACTTTGTGTGAAATTTTTCTCGTTTTCAAAGTGTGAACTTGAACTCCCATGGGCCTGAAGCCTTATGCTTGTTACACATTTTGCTTACTTTGGTATTACCTGTTGAGCATAATTAAAATTTGATGTTGAATTTGCAGTTAAGCATAATGTATGGGGGCGGTTTATACAAAAATTAAAAACACGATTAGACGTCGTAGTTATCAGATCAGACGGTAAAATACGACAAGTCGTGAAAACACAACTAGCAGTCAAAACTCGATTTGACACTAGATAGCGCTCATGTACGAAAATCAAGGCCAAGTCAAATGATCCACAGTGATCAAAATGGCAAACGTTGTTGAAGCAGCTTCAACATTCCTGGCTCGAATACTCTGACTGTTGTTAGCCATTATTGTAATTCTCTATACTAGCCTACTATAGTACACCTGTCGACTCTCCTCAATCTGTCAATTGCAAGCACTTGTCAGTGTTAGAATTTCACGGTATTGACTGTGACGTCGGCGCAAGGGTAGCCAAGTTCATTGACATGAGCGCCATCTAGCAGCACATCGAGTTTTGGCTTCTAGTTGTGTTTTCACTAGTCGTATTTTGCCATCTGATCTGATAACTATGGCATCTAATTGTTTTTGTCTGATCTGATAACTACAACGTCTAATTGTGTTTGTAATTTTGGTATAAACCACCGCCCATAATAATGTGCATTTGCATCAGAAGTGACAGTAGCCTATTTTGTGCATTATTTTCGGCTTTTTGTCTTTACATTTGACAGCTTTGCTGCCTTGTTTCATGAATATTTTTTTAAAACAATAAGAGCAATGGGTGTGGCACGAGTGACCGACAACGTACCACAAAACACAGTTCTACATCAAGTGACTTTTATTCATTCACAAAGTTAATTGTCTTAATTATGTCATGACTGCCAAACTCTTTTTTAACATCTACAACTTGGACAGTTATGACACCACTCATTAAACAACAAGTGCCTTTTTAATTAACAATCTCTGAATGTTTTATATACAAAGACAGATGTTGGGTGGGGCAAGGGGGAACCCCCTTAAGAGAGGGCTGGGGTTAACCCCATATATCTAACAACTGACAATGTTAAATGTATAAACGACAGATCTAAAGGTTGCAGAGTGATGAGGTTTTCTCACAATGTTGTCAAAGGTGATATTGTGTTCATTCATGATTAGGTCTGATGTATGTATGTATGTATGTATACATGTACTCAAGTACAATAAGGTGGTTTGGGGGGGAGGGGTTATAGTTCTCAGCCCATTAATTCAGTGCTTGACCTCCAAAGGAATAGAGATAATCTTATTAAAGTTGGATCTCAACTGCTTTAAAGAGGGCTTTTAAGCAAAATTCTTACAGCAACTAAGGCACTATAGTTTCAATATCTCATATTTACTGGCTTTACTATCAAAAACATCAGGGTTAGTCTCAACACATGATCACATATCAAAAGAATTTCCATATCTTGATATATGTTCTACATTTCTCTTTGTGAAAACTTTCTCTGTAAAAACAAGCCAGTGTGATCCCTTTACCACTAGAAAAGCTAGCGCAATTATGTAAACTTTCTATTTTTGCAAACTTCAGAGATAAAAAAATTACGCGACCCTGGAGTTTGCCCTGGGGGTGGCCAATGTGAGGTGGTTACCTTATGGGAACAGGTGCTGGGAACTTTATAATTCTAGACTGGAAATGTTCTCACGTCTTTCTGAAATTTGTACTGTCAGTGTTAGTAAGGGGAGGGGGGGTCCAAGCTGTCGCTGGTTCAATGTTACCTTACTCCTGAGTAAGCAAATTAATTCTACAGAGGTGAATACAGAAGCAGCTCGAGTTATATAATCAAATATACTGTTACCAAAAATAGACGCTCTTATATACAATGAATTTACACATTAAAGGACACACGTTTCATTACAACATGTGTCATTCATTTCATCTACTTCAATTTCGTTCTAAGAAACAACAAAGCTCAATTCCTCTGTTGTTTTAAAGAAATTTCAGAGTAACCCAACATAATTTACACATATAGTTGGCTAGAAATTTTAATCACATCTCATTTTACCACCCTTGGGTAGTAGTTTATGTACACCAGTATTTACACTGCTCAGAAATGGCCTATTTTTAAACCTACAATTTACTCAATAAATACACTTTAATTAATGAAAAAAATCATCTCCTAAAGAATTAAAAGGCCATGGTGACATGACCTTAATTTTTCCAAGAAATATAAGCAACAGAAACTATTGCCCAGGGCACTGTAATCTGAAGCAATATAATATTTCAACCTGAACAACATTTACCATGTCTTAAAGCCTCCAACAACAGGACTGTAGGGGGCACTGTATTCAAGACAGGCTAACCATATTTGATATGAATCCAAGTATACAACACCACAAAGTCATAATAAAAGTAATAATAACATTAATGTGCTGCCGATGAGATCTATATTACATAATAACAATGGAAATGTTGACAATTTCACAATTTCCTCGATCAAAGTAATTTTTCTTCCAGTCTACCCTGAGATGAACTGTTGACAACAACAAACTAATTAAAGGTGACCTCTGGTGTCAAGGTCAAAATCACCACTAATAAAGATGCAAATACTTTGTTAATTAACTGGACTGTAGGGGCACCGTATTCAATACAAGCTAGTATCACACCTATTTGTCAGTAAATAACCATCTCTTGTCTCAGAACATTAGCTAATGTTAATTTATCAGAAGTTTGTACCTCTCAAGCTGAACTCATTTATCCTGTACTACTGCAGGAATATTGGTTAACTGGACAGCAATGATGGCTAGTTTGTTAGTTCTGGAAAACTGGGGTCTGATTAATTTAACTTAATTATTGTGTCTGACCCACTGATGACAAAGGAAACTTCTCTGTTGGGGTATAAAAATTCAGTTCACAATGCGCACATCTGCATGTCAAAGCCTCTATACAGCAAAGTTTAATGTGCAGGTCTCCATTTGTGTCATTCAGTTTCCATGGAAACATTTTACCAAATCGGTCCCAACGTTTGTACATTTACAGGCATGAGATAACAATAAGTCTCATCTTGTTTGATATCTTGGGTGCTGACACCTATGGGTAAGACAAGACACCAGTTCTACAACATAGTCTAGTGTAACAATTCTTCATCTTGAAATATGCTGAAACTTGCCCCCAGATTGGCTTTTACTATCAGCATTACCAGGATTGCTAGATTTCTTTCACACAGCGCAAGAATCCATCAAAAGTCAAGTCTAAACCATGACAAGTTTGTCCTTGGCTACGTGCCAATTTCTGTCACTCGCTGGCAGTAAGTCTAAACTGTTGCTATGACGATCAGAAGATGCGCCATGTCTCTTATGTTCTGCAACAAGTCAGGTGACATCCTGGCCAGATTGCCTTGGCTGAATTCACAGGGTGGGAATATGTGGACGACGTAAGCCGGCTGAAAATGATAAAACAAAATTTCTAATAACCGGAGGTTCTTTAGCGGTGATTCAAACAGCAATTTCAAAAACAAATTAAAAACAAATCCAAGCACTTCTCAGGTCTTAAAAGGCTCTAATTTAAGTTTTTAAAATTAACTTCTACTTTTTGAAAGCTACCAACTGACTGCCATTACTTCAAATGAATTGTGAATTTTTACACACTGATGATGTGACACAAATTGTAAATCATGAAAAGAATTTACCCATTGTAAGATTGCATAATTACTCTAATGATGTTCAAAAAGAGTTTGTTTTTTTTTCTTCTGCGAATTTGAATTTATGATTATTATTGACAAATTACTTATTGATCCAATTCAAGTACTTTACAAGAACAAAAACAATGAATGGAATACAAGCCTCTGTCAATGATAATTGCAATTTCAATGTACTATTAAAATCTATTGACTGTAATTAAGGGCTAGGAGCTCTTTGTAGCAAAAAAATTGCACTGAGTAATGACAAGTCATTTTCAAACAGCATAGTTTAACGAAGTCATTATGAACCTGTTTATTAAGAAAGTTTCAACAAGAGGTCTCCAGGCAATTATCACATACAGATGGTGATAATGTAATTATTGGCAACCATCTGTTGGATTAACAGGGTCGTGGATCCGGAATACCACCAATTTCACAATATTTTAGAAAAAAATCAATGCAATGAGGACTTGTGACCTTGCAAGCTGCCTTTTCTGAGGTCTTAATAATTTTCTCAAATTTTAGATCATCAAGCTGGTATTTTACTGTTATCGTATGGTAACCATTTCTCTTTACTTCTGATATAAAAGATCACATTTCTTTCAAAACAGACCAGAAATGTATTATTATTATTATTAAAGACAAATCCTAAAATTGTGAGGGGAATACCTGAGTTGATCCAGGAGCTGGCACATTGACTATTCCGGCCGCCTGCTTCTGTTGCAGATATTGTATGAATCCCGTCTTCAAGCCGTGGGTCTGACTTATTACATCTGCGTGGTCGCGCCCCATGGGCAGCGCAAGCATCATGCAGTAGTCTTCGTGCTTCTGTAAAAAAAAAAAAATATTTTTTAAAAATTCGATGATTATTTGCAAAGCAAGGAACAGTTCGAAATACACAAAAAGAACACCAAATATCTAGATTTCTGAATCAACAAATCAAACATGAGTGTTCCCAAATATCTAGATTTCTAAATCAATCCATCAAAACTTTCATCCCTTATTTTGGTCTCTCACCTCCATTCTTCTGGCCACTCCGTCCAGCTGCGAAGGCTCCAAGCGCATTCTCTGTGCAATTCGCAGGATGCATGGGAGACCGTCTGCTGCCATATGTGGCAGGGACACACCCACCAACTTGTCGTTTCCTGCAACCCAGTGCATCTGCACATTGGCGCTGTCATTTTTCAATCCCAGCATGCCTTGCCACATCACGGGGTATTTCTGGACATGTAAGAGAGAAAGTTTCAGGTCAGAGTTATTTTTATTCAAATTCTTCAGATTTTATATTTATATCTTTCTCTAATAAATTCAGTTGGCAGTTACTCTAGTTCTCCCTATAAAATTTCCAAGAACTACAATGGAGCAAATAACAGGATGTACTGCACAATGCCTTCATTTCCATCTAGCAATGTGTTAATTTCTGACACGTCAATTTTCAAGATCAATTAACTCCTGACTGAGTGAATAGGGGGATTTTTTTTCGAGACAATTTCTTTTCAGTTATAAAATATGCAAAATTAATATCAGAACATGTCTATAAAAGAGGAAGGGGGGGGGGGGAGAGAGTTAAATTTCAGAGCTGAGAAGTACCAGCTGGTTACAATGACAACACAAATACATAATAAATATAGAATATGTTAACTACTTACATTAAGCAAGCTTAACAGGTTGTCAGGGTGTTGAGGTATTTCTAATCCCCCTGCTCTCTCCGCCATGTTGGGAATGTGCGCCATGTGTGGCGGCACCGCTGCCTGTGCAGAGCTGTACACTGGCGAGGACGAGTGTTGATTTGGCAACTCAAACTGAGAAGGTGGCCTTGAAATGGGCTGACTGTCAGGCGTTCGCGACTGGGCTTCTTGTAAAGCCGCCAGGTGGTGCTGCGCCACAACAGTGGGGATCATGGGTGGTCCCTGGCGCGCAATTAACTCCGGGTGGTGTTGTCCCCCCGCCATCACAATTCGTGGGTCCAGGTGTGGAGGGACGCCGATGTGACCCGCTAAACTTGTGTGCGGGTATGGCATCATCCCTCCATGCTGCATCAAGAACTCTGAAGGCAGATGAGCGGCCATGGGGGCCCTGGGGTCAGGGTGCGCCACAGAGGGGTGCGCTGCTGTCCTCTGCTTCAGTTCGGCTCTAGCATCCACCAATCCCAGGCGGCCGCCATTAGGCGTGGCAAAGGCACTGGGCAAGGTTACAATGCGGCCATCTTCTTGCGTAACCCGCATCTCACCATATGGCCCTCCAGGTTGGGACATACGCACACGGCTCTCTATAGGCTGATTATTAGGCGGTGGTGCTACCCTTCCTTCCTTAGTAGTATGCGTCCCCACGGCACCTTGCCCAACGACAGGAGAAAGATTCTTCACTCCACCGGGAGACTGCGTGGACTCCACCTGGTGGTGAAGTGGTGGTCTCACATACAGCTGCTGCTGAAGCTGCGCCTGGTGCTGGGCGATCAAAGATGGTCGATTGAGGACTGCGCGGAGCTCACTGGCCTGCTGTAGGGAGTGAGGGGACTGGGCGGGTGGGGCACTACCCCCTGGGGTGGCGTGCAGCATCCCTGGGGGGTACATCCCTGGGGGATAGTGGTGAGATAAAGCCTGCGCCACTGACACTGGCTGCCTGTACATGCCCGTCTCTGGAAGAAAAGAGGGAGAACAAGTTAGTACAACTATAACATTGTTCATGAATCAATTAAAACTTTCTTTACATGTAATTAAACAACGCCGAATGTGCCATTCAGTGTAAAAATCTGAAAATATGGGTCCCAAAAAGGTAAAAATCCCCTGAAAGTCAGTAAAATCCCATTACTGATTAAACCAACAAGACGCTATTTACCAGACTAAGAATGATAAGATAGGGATGGAACCACCCATACCACCATATACGCACATCTTAAAGAGCTAAGATACTGGAGGGATGATGACCAAGAATATGATAGCCTGATTTTCTCTTAACTAAACTAACTCCATGATATATCTGATGATAGAGTCAAATAACCACTTATACATGAAATACCCATCTCTGGCCTTTAAAGCAGAAAGATACACTCCAGGAGATTTCCCCACCAAAATAAGCAACTTTCTCCTTCTCATGAATTATCTCTCTCTCTCTCTCTGCACTTGGATTCAACCATTGATAAAATTTATGAAGGCTGATTTCAACTTAAATGACTGGCCAGGCTTTTTAACAATCACCAATTTGTGTAAGCTCCAATAGAAATATCAACATCAGATACGCTCCAGAATGGCAGCCATCTGAACAGAAATGCTGGGACATCCTGTCTGACCTTGTCTTAATATATGAGTGGGGTGGTGGAGAGGTTCCTGCCTGACCTTGTCTTAATATATGAGAGGGGTGGTGGAGAGGTATATCTCCTGGGTAGAGCCTATTCACCCCGACAGCCTCATTCCCTGGTGAAGATACTCTAGATTGACATTGAAATACTAGTGGTGAACAATAGTTTCAATATTACCTACCAGAAATACTAGTCTCATCTCTGTACATAGCATAGCTGATGATTTTTGTTTTATATCTCTTGTGTCAATAATCTAGACCCTGGGAGTAACCCAAATCTGTTACTTATATAATTAATATAAACAAGAATGAAGGTATAACTCCTACCTGTTTTTGATTTTAACTAGAACCTGGGGCAAACACTTCACCTGCCGTAGCTGTAAACTTGTAGTATTGCGCAGTGTCTACCCTGTGAAGGTGCTATAACTAATAACCTCAATCACTCAGTTAATGTTAAACCTATCAAATATCGTCAGCCACGTAATTAACACTTCTCTTCAATCGGAATACTATCAACTGCCACATAAATCACCAACTTATCACATCCTAAACTGCTAACTGATGGAGTCAAACTGTTCAAGCTCCTTCATTGTCACAATGGAGTAATTGGATGAAGGGAGATTTACGTAAGAACAGGAGCTAATGTTACCATGGAGATTAATATACATACATGCACACATACACATGTACGTCCTTCCTTTCCTACCCCCTACTTAGTGATTAATATCACACCTATACATATATATAGCAAAAAATAAAATATGATAATTTCTTGAAAGTTCACCAATCATCCCTGCATCACCATGGCTACCCGAAACTACGAATGGAGAGAAAATTATTATCCATAAACCCATTTACAAGTTCTTGTCTAATTAACAAGATCTGACTTTGCTTTGTGCTTGGCACCGATGATGGAAAATTAGAAAGTATTGTTAACAGCTGTCTTAAATAATTGGCAGAAGTGTTCAGTCCCTGAGTCTTGTTTCACAGATATCAAACAAACAGAACACATACAGAATGGCTTATTCTGTCTCACCTTATAAACATGACATTTAAAGTTCTACCTGATATGCTGTTTTGAGTTTTATTGCACTTATAATTGCATTTATTACTAATTTATTGTATATATATCTTGAATGTACTCTTAGGCTCTATTCCCATAGATTTTAGATCGATCTATCCCCGCGAGGAGTCTCACTAGATTACTTTCAGATAATCCGTCTTAAATGTCCGTCCCGCCTACTACAAGCTGTAAGCGGGTAATTAACTTTCGTGTCCGCCCGGCTGACAGCTATTTAGCGTGAACCCCCAGGGAGTTAGGTCGATCTAAAGTAGGTCGATCTAATCTATGGAAATGGGGTGTTACATGTGTGTATCTAAAATGCTTAGTACAACTTTCTAATCTTTCAATGGAGAAATATTTGAATTTTTCAGATTCTTTCATTAAGTTCTTCATTCTTAAAATAGGAACATTCCTATTGAGTTGTAGAAACTAAATCAAACAGCAGATTGCCTTGATATCTGAATTCTACACATTAAAAGCGCCACTGATACTATATAGAAATATATTCTAAAATGATTGTAAATATTTCCCCAGTGAAAAGATCTATGGTGCAAAATCTAGTACCATCATTATTGCTATCCATACCTTGGGCCACCCCACTGTGCCCTGGTGCCCTAGGACTGGATGGCTGCTGTCTCATTTGCATAGTCTCAGACATGGGCACCCTCACGTCCTGTCCCTGGGGAGCTTGGGTGGCCTGGACCTCAGGGGTCTGCTGCCCGTGACCTGGCGTGCCCCTCCTCTGCTGCTCAGCCAGGTGATGCATGGGTTGACCCCGCGCTGGGGGTGGAGGATGCTGGGAAGACCCTGGCGTGGAGGCGCGTGGAGAGAATTGACCTCCTGTTATGGGTGGTGGGGCACTGGGTGTGGCGTTGGTGGAGGTCTGTGGCTGGTGGAGTGAGGACACAGACTCTGCGTGAGCAGCGGAGGTGACAGGTACACGGAACTCTTGGTGTGGAGGTTTCTGCTGCGGTGGTCTCTCTGGAGATCTGCGATATTGTGCCTGATGCTGGGTGTCCACTACACCCCGCGCCTCCTGCCTCGCACGCTGAGAGGGGGTCAACGGCCTGATATCAGCTGGTTGAGAGACAGGAGGCACCTCTTTGGTCCCTGCCCTCTGTGCCGGCGTGGGAATCCTGGCATCTAAGGACTGATTATGCAAGTGCCCCTGGGTAGCTGGCGGCCATGTTGGCGGATGCTGCTGTGGTCCGCGTGCACTTGGTGACAGGTGAGAAGATGAGCTCTGTGGCTCTCCCACTGGGGGTCTCTGAGGATGAATCCCTGCAGGATAACCAGGGAACCCCTCACCTTGGGGTTTGCCCTCTGAAGAAACAGGGGGTCGCCCCTGCATGAACTGCGGCATCCCCATTGTTGTGTGGTCCCAGTAACCTTGGGATGGGAGCCCTTTCTGGTACTCTGGCATCCCCTTACTTGTGGGATGTTTGGGGCCTGGTACAGGGGCCTGACTGGTAGCTACACTGATGCTAGGGTTAGGAACTCTCTCTATCACCTACAACCATTAAAACAAGTGACAATATATTTTCCTTAAATTTTAATCTGTACTTAATTTTAATAAATGTTTATTACGTTAGACACCTTAAATTATATATATTTTTTCAATGTAAACTCTGTACTTTATTTGTAACAATTCTTGATTTTAGACACATTATTACTTTATGAACCACTGGGATAATAACGAGAAAGAAAAAATGTAGTGCAATGGTTTTTGATAAGATTTATCTTGGTGACAAAGTAACAAGCAAACAACTAAAATTTCAAAGAATCTTGAGAGTCTTGTATGCCTCAATAAACAAAAGCAACATTAAATTGGTATCAGTTATGATAAAGCGCCCCCTATCTACCTGGCCAGTGGGGCTGCGTTCCACTTGACCCATGGCGTGTGGCGCCCCCTGCACCACTCCCATGTGGACATCAGTCTTTATCGGCAGCGTAGGCATCTTCTCGTGTGAGTAGTGATAGGTTGGTGACATCATCAGTCCTGTAGGAGACTGGACGTACGGTTCTCCAGCCTCGACAGAGGAGCGGACGGTGTCCACTTCCTTCTCGCTGGGCTTACTGTGGGTGTCCATGTGTAACGCTGGAAGAAAAAAATGACAATAAAAATTCTTCCCATTTTGATACTTAATTTTGTATCATCTCTCATCTCTCAAGAAAGTTCCCCCACTTAAATTCAAACAATACCACGCTTGGATGGAGAGATGAAGTGACAATTTACCATTAGTCTGGAGTTTAAAAAAATGGATGAAAATGTCAGGGACAACCCAATACAATTCAGGGCAACTAAATGGAGTCAACTAGGTAAAAGATAAAAAAATCAGAGAAAATTTTCATTTTACAGGACACTGGTTTATCTTCTCTAATAGAGGACTAAAATTTTGATCTGTAAGTTAACATCCATATTTGAGCTCAACTTCTACAACAAAATTACCCCATCCAAGAGCTTCCAATTGCTGACCAAACATTCTTTTTTCATAATTAAAAATTATGCTAATTTTCAAAAATAATCTAATTCAAGGTGACATAAGTCTAATTTTTGAAAACGTTTTAAATTAATTGACTATCATCCAATGAATCAATTCTACTGCCTTCAAGACAACTCAAATTCAGACTTACTTTGAGACTGCCCACTGTTTCAGTGACTCTTCCAAACAATTATTTACTTCTCTAGTAATTGCACAATTCTTAACTACGCATTAAAGCTCTGATAAGGAATGTCAAATTGTAAATCTCAGTCTTTTTTTTATACCAATATATTAATAAATAGCAGCTGCCTATATGATAGAGGGTTTGGGTGATTATATCTATCTTTCCATCACTTTTCTGAAACAAGGAGACCGGTTAAAACAACACAAAATTAAGATCAAACAAATAATGAAAATGGAGTCAAGGCAAAATGGGCAATGTTTATATCCTTTTTCACACTTATCCCCCCCAAC